CCGTCCTCACTGTCCACCATGACATCGTATCATGTGCGCGCCTCATCGAAGAACGACGTCACTTTGGTCCGCAGGCTTCGTCCCTGACGATTAGCGATGTACTCTGGGACAGTTCCTCCTTTCTTGATTCCAAACAACTCCTTTCGTTCTCAGAAGATATTGACTTTCAAGTCATTTTGACACCATACTAAATGAAGTAAAAGCATCGCTGTGGGCGCAAAATGACCATTGCAGTCGACGCGTCCGAAATCACCAATAAACAACGAAAAACAAGCGTGATGCGTGCATTTGCATGTAATTATGGCCATATTCGAGCACCTTTTATGGCTCCTAGCGTGCGTGTAGCCGTCCCATCAACTGGATTCGGCAATGTTCGGCAACCGTTACCAGTTCTTTTTAACCAAAACATTTACTCCCATTTAAACGCGTGATTTTGCGTTACATCATCATATTAAGATACACTTGACTTCATGTGATCTTGGCTGGAGAGCTTTTGCACGTGGCACTGCATTAGCACCTCTTTTTTAAAGATTTAATCCGAACCTTTTGAATGAATGGATTTCTGGGATCAGAACTAACGCTAAGCAGTGTTTGCTATGCGGGTTGTGACCCTTACCACTCGATCGCACGATGTCATGTCAGCGGCAAAATTTGATGGGGTAAAGTTTGACGTGCCACAATGCTCGGCACAGTTCGTGCCAATCTGTAACGTCATCTGACCTTTCGCGTGGCCGCTGCCACCGGCTGCAGGCCGTGCCTATCAAGGCGAAATAGTGACCGCCAAAACTGACTCGAACCCAACCCACCAAGGATAAGTGGATCAGAAAGCAGGCGCTCTAACCATCGGGGTGGACTAAGTGATACAGGGTTAGTTCGACACTTGATAATCATCGAGCAGCAGCTCAGCACACCCACCTTTATAACATGCTCACACCGCGCAACAAAAATGAAATCATTGGTCTTATTGCAAACCATGTGTGTAATCTCCTTTTCAGTTTACGGAGGGACAGACTGGCTCCCAACTTGGGCACCAGCTCCCCCTCCCAATTTGAGAAAAAGCTGGGGGAGCAACCCATTCGTTGGAATATTTTGAGGAAGGCTCTTGTTTTTTGGTGCTCAGCTTTCCCACACTTAACAAGGACATAGTCTTGCAAAACTATTCCCTTGTTGCAGGCACATCATCTTGCATCATGCCGACCTGCGAAGAATGCCGGCGACGGTCTGGGCTGCCTGCAGCGCTTGCCTGCCTGGGCTGGGCTGCAACGGAGGACTGCCTAATTCTATCTTTTGGTTGAGGCAAGACAAGAAGACTGGGATTATTTGTATATATTTTCCAATATTCCAGGCTACAACACTACTAAGAAGACAATTTGGGAAGACCCCTTTCAATTGACAAAGCTGTTGTTAAATTAAGTTATATTTATCTTTTAAAAATCAAAGCTGATTCTGACATCAACTCTGGCAAGGACTGTAACTACAAATCACCTTGTCCTGTGGCATGGTCCAAACTCCCTGTTCGATTAACTGCTAGTACTTGGCCTTCCAAATCAGGAATTAAGTACACAAGAACAATGCCAGACTTCTTACTTCCAATATCCGTATCACGTATGTATCCAACATGCGCAAACTTAGTGATGTCAAAAAGTAAGAGCAACAAAACTCTGGGGTGTAACCAGTGGTTCATTCTGATAGATGATTGACTAACATGTCTGGCCCAACCACCCAAGACCAATAAAAATATGCACATATACTCACACATTTACTTCAACTCCGGCACAATAATTGGTACATACACACCACACTGCCATTTTAACGTTTAACAGCTCTGTTGAAAGTTCACTCCAGACGTGAGGTAAGGCTTTGAAAGTGCTTCAAACGGGGAGTAGCAAGACTGCGTACGAGCAATTTCAACCACTTCTGACCGTCGTCCACTGTAGTGTTCTGTTGCGTTCATTAAATGACAAGTGTATGCATCTACTAGTGTATATTGATGCATGGTTTTACCCGTGTTGTTAATAAATGTGAACGTCAATAATGCGCTAGAACTGAACAAATGCCAATTTCTTCTTGTGTTAGTATTCTTATGTTGTTTTTGTTAACAATTATAAATGCTCTTGAGTGGCGAAGAAAAAGAGTTCAACGCGCCCTACAATTTGTCAGTGAGTGAAAACACTGGCCGTATTCTTATCTAGCATAGAATACTTTTCGCTTAACGTACGTAGTGGATAAGTATATGGCTCAATGCACATGGTGCATGATGATTCATGTCGCAGCACCACATCCCAGCCAGAGCCTGTGTGTTGACGTTGACTGGGCGCCTATCTTCCTTGACTCAGACCTAGTCAAACATCGGCAGAAGGGATTTCAGAGCCCCCTCCCACCGAGACCCTCGTATACCCTCCTTAGGGAAACTCCCCTCCCCCCCCCCCCGCCCCCCCCCCGGTGTGGATCACGTTTTTAGCTCCCACCCCGCGGCGCGTGGTCGCTCACGGCTCCCTTCCTTTTCCTCAAACAGCGTCTACCACGCGCCATGTGGCAAACGCAGTGCCACGTGCGTCATACCGCCGCAGCACCCCTTGCTCAGACAGCGGGGCTTACGTGGGAAAGATTGGCCACCCGCGGCGAGCGGGCGCCCGGGGACTCGATACTGAATGGAGCCGCGCGACATGCCTTACCTGACAGCGCGCGGGAGCAATAAGTCCAGTAATGATTGGCCGGCGGAGGCGACGGCGTATTCATCGAACACGCGCCGCGAGGCGATAACTAAACTGTACTCCATACCGGGGAAGGGATTCCCCCAAGGGAAATACGAGTGTCCCAGGGGGAGGGAGGGGCTGAGGTTCCGTCTGACGATGTTTGACTAGGTCTGAGTCGAGGAAGATAAGCATCCAGCACCAACAAACAAGCTCTGGCTGGAATGTAGTGCTGCCTGCATGAGCTATCATGCACCTCATACACTGAGCTATACACTTCTCCACTTCTGGTGTTCGGTTTAGGTGCATGGAAAAATATGGCATGATGCCAAAAACACGGTGAGCGTTTCCATTCGCATGCAGCATTTGCGCACGAGGGAAAAACCGTGGGTTCAGTCACGTGGTTTGATCCGTGTTGTTCAGTACCAGACTTAAGGAACAGTTGTCTTGAGGTGTCAGTCGCTTATATGATCCTGTTCACAATAGGAGGCAAGAGTGCAAATTTATTTACGTTCATTGCGTTGAGTTGTTTAGTTCGGAACGGAAAGAAATCATAATCAAATTATTGTCAGGGCAGAATGGGCTACGAGTTTGGAAACCACTAAACTGAGAGAAAACCAACTTTTTAGCCCAAAATACTGGATTGAGAGCTTCCAAATGTTCTTAAATTGTGTTAAGCATTTCAAAATACTTGAATTATGCGCGTGACATCTGACCTGCTCAGTTGTGATGCAATAGAAGAGCGTTTGGTGTGAATTTCAACGTGACGAGCAGTTTTCCTTGTGTAGAATTTTCAGTGAGTGGGGTTTTCATTGCGATTAGTGGAGTCTTCCTTTTAAGAATTTTATTGGAACACGCGAGCGATAGCGCCACTATGAACCTGAACCGCAGCACCCAGCCTCTGCTCCACTGACAAATGCCGCTCCTTATGATGCTTAGTGGAGGCGACACTTCCTCCCGTGCAGCCAGGATAGGTCTCTCCAGCTCGCCGAGACTGGAAAACCTTTGGCGGCCAGGCCCTTTCTCCGACAGCGCATCACGAATGGAGCAGTCCAGAAGATTCGTGATGTGTTGTGGTACACAAGGTCGCTGCCGGGTGGCCGGCTCGGCGGCTCGGCACGATACCTGCCATAATAAAAGGCAAGGGTACTCATCGCCTATTTGTTCGAGTTTTGTCTGGTGTGGGACGAGGAAAAATATTAATTTGGTTCAGCATCAGGGCAGAACTTCCCAATAAGAAAACACTGCACTGGCAGGAAAAAAGAGAAATTTTACTAGCTCAAAATACTGGATTGAGGGATTCCAAA